GCCTAGTTTTGCAACTTAATAAATCTAATTTCATTTAAAAATATGATTGCCACTCAATGCCTCTTTTGCAAACCACAACGCCCAAAAGGAGAGAGAGAACAAAAGGGAATGCCCTGCCACAGAGGCAGGGTGGGAAGGGGGGATGGGGGGTGGGAGGGATACTGGGACCCATGGTGGTGGAAAATGGGCACTGGTGGAGGGATGGGTATTTGATCATTGTATAATCGAAACCCAAGCACAAAAATTTGTAAGTCTACAACTGTACCTCATGGTGTTTCACTAATAAAAATAAAAGACTGCTATAGAGTCAACACACACACACACACACACACACACACAAATACTCAACAGTGGGGCCGAAACAATAGTATAGTGGGTAGGGTGCTTGTCTTGAATGTAGCTGGCCCGGGTTTGATTCTGGCATGTTATATGGTCCTCCAAGCCTTGCCAGGAGTGATCCCTGTGGGCAGAGCCAAGAGTATAGTGTAGCGCGGTAGCACTGTCCTCCCGTTCATCGATTTGCTCGAGCAGGCACCAGTAACGTCTCCATTGTGAGACTTGTTATTACTGTTTTTGGCATACCGAATACACCATGGAGAGCTTGCTAGGCTCTGCTGTGTGGGTGAGATACTCCCGGTAGCTTGCCCGGCTCTCTGAGAGGGACAGAGGAATCAAACCCAGGTCGCCCGTGTGCAAGGCAAATGCCCTACCTGCTGTGCTATCATGAGTATAATGAATAAAAAAATTAAAAAATAATATTCACTAGTCTAACATCTTTTAACTACAAATTATAAAATTCTAATGAATTTAAAATTAACTATTATTCTTTAATCCATTATTATTTGGATTAAATAATATGGGTGAATATAAATCCATATTCCTTAAATAAAATTATTTTATAGCATAGCAGGTAGGGTGTTTGCCTTGCATGTGGCTGACCTGGCCGACCTGAGTTCTATTCTTCCGTGCTACAGTGCTACTCTAATGATATAACACTGCCAAAGAACAAAACTATGTACTGTTGCATTGTAGCACTGTCCTCCTATTGTGCATTGATTTGCTCGAGCGGGCCCAGTAACGTCTCAATTGTGAGACTTGTTGTTATTGTATTTGGCATATCGAATACATCATGGGTAGCTTACTAGGCTTTGCTGTGCAGGCAAGATACTCTTGGTAGCTTGCTGGGCACTCCGAGAGGGGGGGAGGAATCGAACCCCGGTCGGTTACGTGCAAGGCAAACACCCTACCTGCTGTCCTATCGCTCTAGCCCAAAACTATGTACAAATGCTTAAATTTAAAAAACTGATTTTTCCTTAAATAAGATAATTTTACTCTAATAATATAACACAGCGGGTAGGGCGTTCGCCTTACAAGCGGCCAACATGGCCGACCCGAGTTCGATTCCTCCGCCCCTCTCAGAGAGCCCGGCAAGCTACCGAGAGTATTCGATATGCCAGACACAGTAACAACAAAGTCTCCAATGGAGACGTTACTGGGCCCGCTCGAGCAAATCGACGATCAACGGGAGGGCCTTTACCTTTACCTTTAATATAACATTGCAAAAAAATAAAGCTATATACAAATGTTTAAATTTACAAAACTGATTTTTTTCTTCAAAGATAATATGCAAAGAAATACGTATATGTGATATAATTTCCCATTGATTTATATGGTTAATGAGGAGAAGCAATGCTACCAGAAAATAATTTACCAAAAAAAAAAAATAAATAAAACAACCCCCCTCAAAAAAAAACCCAGTCTGATGGAGGGATTGTTAGATATTCTAAAAATTGTTTAAAATATAGCCTGGTCTCGTCATTGGCCTCCCTCCAGATCACATGTCTGCTTCTTCTCGAAGGGAGTATAAAATGAGGCCCCCATAGCCATGCCACTAGACTCTGCGCCAGGTTGTTTTCACTTGGGGCACCCTGTTTTCACTTGGGGCTCCCTACCTGCCCCAAGGGACCCAGGCCCAGCAGTCGACCTCCACAACCCAACCATTGCCACGCTCAAGGCCACTCCCCACATGCTTGGGCTGCGAGCCTCACATATGAGTGAACATATTCCTCTCATATGAGTGACACATCATAAGACACTCCCCACCCACTCTCCATAATTACCACATCATATTTTATGGGGTTAAGACAGTAAGCAACAAATCATAGAGGGAAATATATATGCATATATACATATTTTCAAATATACATATATATATATACCAAAGCTCACATCACTCAAACTTTAACAACATGTTAGTGATATCCTATAGAATGTCTTAATGGCTCCTGCCAAAACAGAACAATCTTCACACTGTTTCCTATATAAACACTTTTTTGTAAGCATGTTCAGCAGTTTTTCATAACACAATACACAATATATTCTTTTGGTTGTGTTTTGGGACACGGATTGCCGTTTGGGTTGAAACATCACGAATTTGTGATGGGAAGGTATAATGGTGGTGGGATTGGTGTTTGAATATTAAATGTAATCAAAATATTGTGAACTAACTTATAAAATAAAAAAATTTAAAAAATATAGCTTGGCATTTATGTTAGTTGTATTTTTTGTGTTTTAGTTCGTATCTTGTTATTGCTCCTAACTGCAAACCTTTTCTTCTCTTTTTGTTTTCTTTTTTATTGAATCACCATGAGATACAGTTACCAAGCTTTCATGTTTGAATTTCACCTTTAGGCTTCCTTTATATGATAAAGCTTTTCTACCCTTCTGCCTCTTTTAGCAGACTCCTACTAAATCTGAGATTGTTTCACTACAAATTCTAGCTATATGCCTTGTTCACTCACTGGTCACCACACAGAAGTGACTAGAGAGCTAGGTCAGTGTGAGTTTGGGTAATGCATGATCACTTTTTCCCCAATTTTATATACCTGGAGATAAGTACAGGTCTGCATTATAAATGTTGAAGGATGTCAGAAGTTGAGTAGTTAGGGTAAAAGAGAGTATAAAAAGTGATAAGAAATTAAAGTATTCAGTACTAGCCAGAATTCTTTATTTTCCCAAGAAGTGCTACTGCTTTCTCTTAAGTTTATCCTTTATGGAATAAGTAAGCTCCAAAGGTGGTATTTCAAGGACAGCTTCCCTATAATACCTGCCACATTTTTTCAGTGACCTGCTCTTTTTCACCAGTCATTATATTTTCATCGGATTAGTGCTTTGTCTGGGTTAGGTAATAAAGATGGTTCCATGCACGTGGGAAGGGGATAAGCCTATTTCATTAATAAAATGGTATCAGTTGGAGAGACTCTATAGTGGGTAAGGCACTTGCTTTGCATGGTCCTGACTCCAGTTGAATTCCTGGGACCACATGCGGTTCCCTAAGCATCATCAGTAGTGATCCCTGAGCAGAGAGCCAGGAGTAAGCCTGGAGCACCACCAGGTGTGGCCCCAAAACAAACATCGATGATATGACTGAATATAATATTAGTCAATTAATTTTATATAATATTAAATGATATAAATTATAAAATATTAGCCATTTAGCACAGCGGTAGGGCGTTTGCCTTGCACGCAGCCAACATGGCCGACCCGAGTTCGATTCCTCCGCCCCTCTCAGAGAGCCTGGCAAGCTACCGAGAGTATCTCGCCTGCTCGGCAGAGCCTAGCAAGCTCCCCGTGACGTATTCGATATGCCAAACACAGTAACAACAAAGTCTCCAATGGAGACGTTACTGGGCCCGCTCGAGCAAATCGATGAACAGGAGGACAGTGACAGTGACAGCCATTTTTAAAAGAATTAACAGCTGGAATGGTGAAATAATAGATGTTAAGACAAATGCCGAGTTTATAGTTTTTAAAGTTTCATGTTATTCCAGGTGAAAGGACAAAGATATCCACAGGCACATTTGAAATGCTGGCTCAAATACAATGTTTATGCATAAAAGGTTTTATAATAGTTTTATGTTAGGTATGATTAATAAGTTTCATGACACTCAGAATAAAGGGTATTATGAATAAAGAATTTCCTCATGTCTTTTGCTGGAGAAACTCATTAAAAGTTGCACAAAGCCATAATGAGTGTCTGAACAATTTCAACACATTCTCAACTGGTTCTGAAGGGTGAAGTTGTGGACTGAGTCTATATTCCGCTGTCCAAAAAGAGATTATTATCTATTATAGATAATAAAAATAGGCTGTAAGTATACATGTTTTCTAATTATTTCTATAATTTCTACATAAAATTATTTAAGTAATTTTGTTAAGCCATAGCTTGAGGGCAATTTGCTTCCAAAATATTTTCTAGAACATATGAGTACAGTATTGAATAATAAAACTACAGAAATTTCACTAGTAAACTCATCTCACATGGGGAAAGAGTTATGCATTACATTTTCAACAATGTTTCATAATACATTCATTTTAATTTTTAGTAAGTTTTCTAAAGTTTGTATGATTTTACTAATTTATAAGAGAGATTTATATTCTAAATAATTGCAAACAGAAGACATCCTGTAAGGTAAGTCCCAGCACTAATCCATGATTCATTATCTAAACTTTAATTGGCACAACTCTTGAAATTCAGGGACCATATGGAAAATAATGAGTCCTAATAGGTCTAAGGTGAAAAGATGGTAGGGGAGAAGGGAGCCAGAAAAGCGCCGATTCAGAATGCTTAGCAACAGCAGTGCAATTTCCCCAGAGATCTTGAACAATGTGTTCTCAATGTTTTACTGGTCTTGCTATCATATAACTAAACTGCATATTATTTCTCATCCTGTGAGACAAAGATTAAAATGAAAACCACAAACCAAACTTTAAGACTACTTTCCATAATTAAAAATGAAATTGGCTGACTGTTAATAAAAAAAGGCAGCAATTTAGTTGCCATAACAACCCGAGGCAACTGTTGACTGACATCGCAATCTGCTGCCTTTTTATAAATAGCAGTTGATTTCCCCTCTTTCTTTTCAACTTGTTTTTAGTGCATACTGAAACTAATGGAACAACTGTGATTTTAAAACTATAGCATGCATCAAGCAATGTACCTCCTCGCTGCAGTCACTGCCATAGAAATCATCTTCCAGTTGAGTGTCTGTATTTGTCATGCTGATGTTTGTCTCCTTGTTTAGATCTAAACTAAGTGAGCCACCTTCTGGAGACATGCTCTGAGTCTTTCCATGGGGAGCTGATCGTGGTCTTGATGAAAAAGTGAAAATGTCTATTGGCACAATCTGGGTTTCCTCTGCCTGTTGGTCAAGCTCATTTTCCTTGCTGGTTTCTTGCAACAGGTGTGCAGTGTAGCTGGAATCCTCATCCAGGAGCAGAGAGTGTCTACTGGATGCCAAATGTTCACCCTTCTCAGGAAATATCCATTCATCTGACATTTTGAAAAGATGACAAAAATTAGATTATCTTTCATATTTGTTATTTTAGACAGGTATGGTAAAACTTGTTATTGTAATAGATATTTATCAAATAATGCAAAAAGTCACAGAAGGCAATTTATTTGCTATTTTATAAGCTGCTAGACATTTAACTTATTGATTAGTGCCTAGAGCTATGGGCAAATAATTTGCACTTCCTCTTCATCTGAGTAAAACACTGGCCAGGAAATTTGTAAGTCTGAAATAATTATCACCTGTCTCACAGTAAGCTCCTTGAAGTACAGCCTCATTAATTTGACATTCCAAGGAAGTGGGGGTGAGGGGCATCTCCCAAAGTTCAAGTGTTTTAAGTACTTCTTTTAACTGCAGGAGGAAGTGAATTTCAACAATCTCTTTAAACTAAGTAACAGGGTATTGTTCAGAATATGAATCATGAAGAAGAGGAAACTCTGAAAAGGTTAGTAGTTCTTTTCTCTGTACTTTGGAAACAGATAAATTCACTGACTAAACTGAGTAGACTTTCCAAGTGATAGTAAATTCAGAGAAATATTTTTAATATGACTGATGAATTCACTGTTCTAGTGAAGAAAGACCTCTATTCTTAGTTTTAACAGAGAAAGCTTTGATGTGAATTTTTTTTTCCTGTAGAGAAAATTATTTTCTTTGAAATATTTGTATATATATTTTTAGCTGGAGCGATAGCACAGCAGGTAGGGCGTTCGCCTTACAAGCGGCCAACATGGCCGACCCGAGTTCGATTCCTCCGCCCCTCTCGGAGAGCCCGGCAAGCTACCAAGAGTATCTCGCCCACACGGCAGAGCCTGGCAAGCTCCCCGTGATGTATTCGATATGCCAAACACAGTAACAACAAAGTCTCCAATGGAGACGTTACTGGGCCCGCTCGAGCAAATCGATGATCAACGGGAGGGCCTTTACCTTTTTTACCTTTACCTTATATTTTTAGCACAACTTAAATTAAAAAAATTAGTCAGTGGATTTTAAAACTATGATCTAGGGACATTGGAAATTATAAATCTAAAATTTATTTTTGGGACATTTTTACTTTTTTCTTTAGAAGAAGAGCAAGAAAAATATGGAGCATCTTCTAAACTTACCATTTTTTTTTTTTTACAAATTTCAGAGTGAGAGTACAGGGATTATGACACTTGTCCTGCATGTGGTCAACTCTGGTTTAATCCATGGTACTGCGTATGGTGCCCTGAGCATTGAGGCGCCACCGGGTGTGTATCTCAAAACCAAACAAAAAAATTTGCTTTTGCTGCATTATGTGAATGTTGAAAATCATACAAGAATCTGTGTTCTGCAGAAACACAATGCGAAGAGGGTAGTTTTGTTGTTGTTATTTTTGTTTTTTTTTTTGGGGGGGGGCATCACCTGGCAGTTTTCTGGGCCTATATCGGTGGGCTCAGGGGACCATACAGAGTACCAGGGAATTAAACAAATGTCAGTCTTGTGCCAGGCAAGTGCCTTTCCCGCTGTACTACCTCTCTAGATCCTAAAGTGAGTAATTTTTTCTCTGACTCTTGAATTTTGTTATATTTCTCATTACACAAAAAGTAACCGAGACATCTAAGGTTGCTAATTTAAAATTCTAAAACCTAGATAACAAAAAAGCAACAACACTTTAAAAATCACATTCACTGCGCAAAAAGTTTTATTCATCATGATTCATCTACTTCTTGGGACTACTGTTTACTAAAAGTTACCCATAAAAAGGACAGTAAATGTAACTTCCTAGAGAAATTGATTAAGGCAAAGCTTTCCTGTGATTAGCAATAGAATCTGTAGGTTTATACGTACAGCCAAGGTAGGCGAGTCTACCTGATCTGACCACCATTACATGGCACGTGAGGGCTCCTGAAAGAGTGCTGCTGCAGGCATGTGAGATGATTATGTTCATTAGCCTTACGAGGAGGGCAGAAAATCAGTTTTGCACAGTGCTAAGAGCATGGAAGTGCCTTGCAAACAAAGCAGTGTGCTGCAAGATACATATGGATATGTAAAGAAAATTGGAGGAAAAGATGCTGAATATCTTCATTACACAATTGAACCATTTGTATTACCTGTTGGGCTGGAGCAATAGCACAGTGGGTAGGGCGTTTGCCTCGCACACAGCCGACCTGGTTCGATTCCTCTGCCCCTCTTGGAGAGCCCGGCAAACTATCAAGAGTATCTTGCCTGCACGGGAAAACCTGGCAAGCTACCTGTGATGTATCTGATATGCCAAAAACAGTAACAACAAGTCTCACAATTTGTTGTGAGACGTTACTGGTGCCTGCTTGAGCAAATCCATGAACAACGGGAGGACAGTGCTACGTTGGTACAGTATTACCTATTGCCAAACATAAACTGTCATAGGTAAATGTAAAGCCTTGGGATGTGAGTCATGCAGGAGAGCACCTGCCTGACAGGTTAAGGTTGGAGTTTGGTATTACCCTATGTGCTGTGGGATCCTGGTGGCACTGAATACAACAATTAAAATGTGTAAAACCTTACAGGCGTCATGACCAAATGTCTGACCCCCAGCAAACCTACAACAAAGTGGGTGTAATCCCCATCACAGCAACAAAAACAAAGGGAAAGCATGAAAAAAAAAGTAAAAGGAGCTGTTTCTACTCTAAAGAAACTAATTATCTCACTACCCCATGATGTTTTGGAATTTGTAGTTTTACCTCAAGTATTTTCATATCAATTGTAATGAATAATTCGGTGTGTTTTCTTAGGAAAATATGTAAATTACTATGTAATCACAATATTGCAGCAAACAAGATAAATGCAAGAATGATCACCTAAACATCTAATTAGTTTTTCTACACAGTCAGATTTATGCTAGAGACACTAATTGCGCCTAACATTTTAATGAAGGTTTCAACATTGCATAAATAAGACTGACAAACTACAAACAATTTTCATTTATTTTCCTTTTCTCCTGCTCAAAAAAAATTCGCTTTCATAAAAGTATCACACACCTGCTAGGCCAAATATGATGATGGACTCAATGTTCTTCCTTACAACCATTTCCACCAGAAAGAGGGCTGGAGAAATGCAACAACTGGGAATCTCAGGGAAGGGCGATAATGTCATGAGAAAACATCAGCTTGAAAATTTCATTCCGGGCAGTTACCTAACACTTAAAGATCAAAATACTTTTCTCTCCTTCCCTCCTTCCCTCCTTCCCTCCTTCCCTCCCTCCCTCCCTCCCTTCCTTCCTCTCCCTTCCTTCCTCTCCCTTCCTTCCTTCCTTCCTTCCTTCCTTCCTTCCTTCCTTCCTTCCTTCCTTCCTTCCTTCCTTCCTTCCTTCCTTCCCTCCCTCTCTCCTTCCCTCCCTCCCCCTGCCCAGTCCCTTCCTCCCTCTCTCCCTCCCCTTCCTCTCTTTCTTTTCTTTTCTTTTTTTTTTTTTTTGAGCCACACCTGATGGTGCTCAAGGCTTATTCCTGGCTCTGTGTTCAGGGATCATTGATCGCAGGTTTGAGGGCCATATGGGGTGGCAGGGATTGAACCCAGGTTGGCTGTGTGCAAGAAAATATCCGGCACCCGGCACCCTCAAAATACTTTTTATTCAGTAAAGTTTGACATAAAATTGAGATTAAAAGGTATTTGCAAAAACAGGTAATTTTAGCATACAACAGGGCAAGTTTTCACAGTGATCAGCTTTGAAATATTTGGCAGATTCATACTTTATTATTAATTATAAACGTTTATTAAATAATAAAGATGCCAACCTGCTTGGTCAGGAGACTGGGGTTCCACAGTGCTGGGCTGAGATGCTTCTTCTTGTTGCTGGGACACAGTGGTGGGGGTAGTTGTTTCTTCATCTTCATTCCTGTTATTTCTTGAAGATCTGCCTTTATTAGATAAAATATTTTCCACTATATTACTTCTTTTGAAATTCATAATTAATTTTAAAACAATGTTATTTATACAGCATTCTTTTCTGCTTGAGGTGAGAATACAGATTATGGTCCAAGTGTTTTTGTTTTGCTTTTTTTCCCCCAGTAGAATGTTTTAAGATGAACTTAGCTGCATTTTTGTAGAGGTTCATCTTAAAATTCCTTGATATCTGCATGGGAACATTTTATTTATTTTGAAGAAAAAATTTCTTTTTTTTATTGAATTATTGTGAGATATACTGTTACAAAGCTTTCTTGATTGGGTTTCTGTCATACAATGTTCCAGCACCCATCCCTCCCCCAGTACACATTTCCCACCACCAATGCCCCCAATATCCTTCCCACCATCTTCCGTTTCCCTGATTGCCTCTATGGCAGGCACGTTTCTTTCTCTCTCCCTTTCCTTTTGGGCATTATGGTTTGCATACTGAGAGGCCATCATGTTTGGTCCTTTACCCACTTTCAGCACACATCTCCCATCCAGAGTGACCCCTTTCAACCATCACTGGCATAGTGGTCTCTTATCCAAGGTTGATCCATGGTTGGAAGCCTGCCTCAAATTCTGGTGCCTGAGAACACGAATTCAAAACACATGATTTTAAAGGGCTTTATTAATTTTTCCTTTGCACAGAACTAAAGTGAAGTGTGTTTTTCTAAAATTAAGATTGTTACTAAATCTTTTTTTTCCCTTTGGTTTTTGGAACACAGCAAATGGTTCTCAGGACTTTTTCAAGGCTCTGTGCTCAGGGATCACTCCTGGAGGGGCTCACGGGATCATTTGTAGTATAGGGAATGAACCTGGGTCAGCTGTGTGAAAGGCAAGGGCTCTATTTGCTGTTATATAGCTTTGACCCTACACAAGACTTTGAAACCACACTTCTAAATCACGTATTTTAAGAAAATAAACACAGGCATAATGCAAAATTAAATGTTTCTCTTTTATCTTGTAAAATAATATAAAATCTAATGAGTTACATTCTGCCAAAGAACTCTGTATTTGGGGAAATAATGCTAACAGATGTGTGCATGATACACTCTGGGAGCTATTCAGACTAGTCTAATGTAGGTAGTCACAAATCTATACATACTTGGCTCAAATCCAATATTTAAATAAATTATGGTGATAGTCATCTATATTATCTAATGCTTTACTGGTTGCAAAATGTTTAAATATTTACCTCTACTAGACCGGTAGCAAGGAGTCCAAAGGGAGAATCAGTAAATGTAAAAAGCAATCTGAAAAGGGACCAACTTACAAAGCAGAGACACAAATTAAAATGAAAATTATGAGTTAAGTTCAGTCTTAGTAAAGTCTGCAGATTGAAACTTCCTATAAATTGGACCATATTTTAAAGACAATAATTTAAGCTGATGTCTTTGAAAGCAAAAATAGGAAGTCCTTTATTTCAACAGTACTGCCTACTAATCCAGCAAATCTTTGTTAGGGCTCTAGAGAAATCCTTTTGCAGAAAATTTGATTTCAATAATCCCTATGGAACAGACATTTATATTTTAAATGAATTGGCTCATAATCCTTTAAAATTTACAACCTGCAGAGAGAGATCCCATTGCTCTAAATAATATACAGACATAGGTAGTATTGAATTAGTGCCATACCGCTGGGTGTCTCTGTCCTTTCTCTGCTGGTGCTTTTTAACCGTAATCTTCTCTTGCTATTATTCTTATCTGTTGATGGTTCTTGAGGGGGATGCGGATGCATAATATGCAGATTGGCTATACATTAGAAAAGATAGAACAGAAAGTACGATATGGTTTGAAATAACTCAATTAATGCAATTATAGCTATATTGAGAATGTTCATGTATCATTTTGACATAAAATTAAGGCTGCTTCAAAAACACAAAAATACAACATATTTCTCCTTAGGAAACAGGTGTTTAATTTTATTCCAATATTAGAATTTTTTAAGACTTTCTAAAGCAGGAATACATTTTATTCTGAAATATAACATTTTTTTATTTATTTTGAAATGTATCATTTTAGAGAGATACAAATTGATAGATATTAAGCATGCATTATACTACAAAAGTATGAATAATAAAATCAATAGTCAACACAGGAAAAGTATTTTTTCCTTTAAAAGAGGAAGTGAAGTTAAACATAATTCAATAAAAACTAAGAGAAGTTTCTGACAGAACCCCAGAGAACTGAGTGCAAACACAAAGAATTCCAGAGTATAACTTTTTAATATAATTTGAATTATTGTTACATAAATATATTCATTATAAACAAAAAATAACAATTACTAAATGCTTAATTTCACAGAACCGTATGTAGTGTATAGCTGATTTTTCTCATAGAATCTTCACAGTTACACCTCAGGACAGTTGTTATTTAGAAGTATTACTAGTATCTTTATTTTTCAGATGAGAAAATGAAGTTCACAAAGTTTAAGAAACTTGATCAAAGTTTCACAGGAGAGTGGGAGTTATTTATTATTTTCTTATCTCAGTTTCATACTCCATGGGAGATGTAGTTTATAAAAGATTAGATTAATTTCTAAATCAAGTCCCTCCCCCACATTTCAACTTTTGCAAAAGGCAGACCAGTGAAAGTGAAAAAAACTGAGAGGGAGTGGAAATATTGGGTTCTCCTCAATTCTTTCCTGTGATTACAAAGAGCAAATCACTTGATCTTTTTGTTAGCCTTGAACTCTCAGTCTACAACATAGGACAAATGTCTTTTCTTTACCAACAGGGTTGTTTTGTTATCAATCAGAGAAATTAAAGAGCATTTTACAAATGGAAGAGACTAATTAAAAGATAAATTATTGAGAAATCTGAAAATGCATATTAAGCTTCCAAAAATACAGCCATTATAGGATCCATTTAATTTCCTCATTGGACATCATATAATAATACACAAGTACTATGACAATTAAAAATAAAAATTTTATAAAATTATGTATAAGAAGTCCAAACATATTTCAACACGCCTTATCCTTTAATTCTGGACTTAAGATCTAGTCAATAACGTAACTTCAGATTTAACATAACTTTATTTTTTACTATGCTCACTAGCTTATGTCAGTCTTTATGTAAAATGCTTTCTTACCATGAGTAGGTACAGCCTGTTTTGTTTGGCGAATATTTTCTTTATCTCCTTGCTCTTCAGACTCAGATATCAACAAGGCAGACATTTCTGTACTATTAACACTCTTCTCTACCATAGACTGCTGGCACGATCGGCTATTTTTAGACCCTGTGGATTTTACTGTCTACAGGGAAAACAAATTAGTCTATATTTTAAACTGAAGGCATTAAGTGTATTCCCTATACAATCTACAATGGAGAAATAATATTTGGGCAAAGAATAAGGAAAAAAAATAGAGAAACCAATAGGGTGGAAACAGTTGGGGAGGGAAGTTATGGTGGGAAATTAGAAAGCCATTGATGGAGAAGAATAATGAGATAAAATACACCACTACACATGTCTCCTATACACATAAGTTAAGATTCTTACTTGCCACTCTTCATCTATAGTAGGGAGAAGTTAAAGTGAAATTCACTATTTTTTATGCTTTTATTCTGAAAATCACAGTCTAAACTAAAATCAGAGGAAAATTATATATATATATATATGTGTGTGTGTGTGTGTGTGTGTGTATAACATTTGAAAATCTATTCTCAAAATTGTCTGGTGGTGATAGAATTCCTTTGTGAAGGAGGCTACAAAATGCACTCACATATAACTGCCTGTAAGTTTCTGAACATATTTAAAGAGAAGAACACTCAAAATGTTAATTTTGTTGACATGATAAAAAGAAAACATTTTTGAGGCCTTTAAAAATCAGAATTTCTGTACTATATTTATTTGAACCTTCTGCTTTTGGCATGTAGTCTCTCTTCTTTCTCCTATGCTGGGGAAGAACTCCCCCACCCCCCAAAAAAAATCCTTCTCTTCCCATGTCATTCAAGCTTAGATAAGTTCTTCAAACCTTGTTCCTACCTCACTGGATGTCCTCATGTTATTCCTTCTGCCAGAGAGTGGAGGTGGTCCAAGAACTTTGGATCCAAAGGCGATATGACAAACATCTTGGTTTTTACTATTTCGCACACTCCCTGTTCCTCTGTTAATGAACTGATCTGTTTTTATTAAAAGAACGTAGTAAATGTTCATTAGTAGGCATATAGATACACAAAAAACATTATGTGAAGTATCTGAAAGTCAGTCATTCCAAAAGTTAAACTCTCTGAATTGCATCTCCATGGGCATTTCTTAAAACTGCAGATACTGGGGCCCAAAACCAGAATGTAGAATGAGAACCCGGCAGTGGGCTAGAAATGGATACTTTTAACAGTTTCTTCCAGTAATTTTTTTTTTCGGGTATTCCCAGCAGTGCTGGTATAGGGGAAACCAGATACATGATACTCAACCCAGGTGTGATGGTACTTAAGTCTGGGGCTCGGAGTTGGTGGGCCACCAGGCTACATCCAGTGGTGCTAGTGAAGGAGCATGCAGTGTTGGGATCAACCTTAGGTCCTCCAAATGCAAAATATGTGCTCCAATCCTTTGAACTCTTTTCTCTACCCACTAATGATAGTTTCATATGTATGAACTGAGGAGAAAGACTGAATAAAGCTGAACAACTTTCAGGATGTGAATGAAAGCAGGTTCAAAAAATGACCAAGACACTGCTATTTATATGAAGAGTAAGATGCTCAACAATAGCAGCGCTCAGACACCACAACCAGATACCGATCAACCACCAGATTTCCTAGTGTTAGCAAACAGATGTGGCTATCGTGTATATATAGACTCCTTTCTAAAAGGTTATTTAAAAATATTCATTTGTAGAAAATGAAATAGCATAAGTCTGTTTGGATCAATAACAGAAAAGTGACTCTCAAATTCTAGGCCAACTGAAAAAAATCCATTAGAAATTCATATCTTTCATGACTGAGTAGAACAAAACCTAGAGAGGTGTTTCTCACTTTTTTCTGTCCTTACGTCTCCTCTATTCTCATGCTGTGGCCCATTTATGCAGCTTTATGTCACAGAATTCCTATGATCCAGAAAATCCCAGGGCCCACAAGGGAGAAATTATAACTGGTTGAGAAATGGAACCCTAGAGAACTGATTCTGTTAGAATCATTAGAATATATGTACATTTTTCAAAAAGGAAATAGCCACTGAGGTTACTGAAGGGTAGTAAGGGCTATGGCATAGATCTAGAAAGGCAATAATAATAGGATGGGAGTTTCTCCTTAGAAAAAATATTCTGGTTACAGGAAACCTTTGTCCATAAGTATATTTTTTCTGTTCAAACATCGTAGTGTGTTTGTTTTCACATGAGCAATCATGGAACAGTAAGGAATCAAAGGGGTGTGGTCAGGTTGGAGGTGGGTCATAGCCAGAGGAAAGATACTGAGGACTGAAAATTCAACCACAGATTTATGAATCTCCCCCTGCCTAGTGGGAAGCTAGACAAGGTCCCAGGTTGGCATTTTGCAGCAGAGGGAGCAATAAAAATCAAATGACTATGTCAGTAGTTGCAAAGAAAACACTGAACAGGATCCAATTCCATCTAGGATAAATACTTACACCAAAATGTGCATAGAAAGAACCTACCTCAATATATTAAGGACCATGTATCACAAATCCACAGTTTATATCCTAATGAGCAGGAAAAATATAAAAGCACTTATCTAAGATCAGGAAGGAGACAAGGATGCCCACTTTAACCACTATAATTCACCATAGTATTGAAAATTGTTGTCACAGAATTTTTCTATGCAAATAGTAAGGTTAAAAAGAAAGAAATTAAAATAATAAATGTGTACTCCGGCTCAAATCAAGTACCTGGGAATCAACACAGCAAAGGAGGTGAAAGACTTACACAAAGAAAATAATAAATCATTGTTTAAAGAAATAGAAGAAAACACAAGGAAATTAAAGCACATACAATGCTCAGGATTGGAGGAATTAATATTGCTAAAATGAGTATTCTTTATAGATAGATAGGTAGGGTACTTGCCTCACATGCAGCTAAGACAGGTTCAAGCAACCCGGCACCTCAGGAGTGATTCCTGAGCAAATACAGGAGTAAGCCCTCAATACAGCCAGCTATGGCTCCAAATGAAACAACACAAGGTAAAATAAAAATAAACAAATAAAAAACAAAATTAAAAGCAAAATAAAAGAAGATCCACACAAAGATTCAATTTCCAGGATACATGATCCACTGGAACTTCAGAATCCCAGAAAATCATATGCTTTGAACCTTGCATTTAGCCCCTAGCCTGGTTGGTTGAGAATTGGTGGACGTGGTCCCTTGATTCCCTGAACACTGACTGGGAGACCCAATGAGAAAAATGAACATTCTACTCAAAGCACTAAAAGGTACAGATCCATTGCAGTACTCATAAAATCCCTGTGACATTTTTGGAAATGTGGAACAAATACTGATTTAAATTTATATGCAGTAATAAGACACAGAATAGCCAAATCAATTCTGGAAAAATATTCGTTGCTTTACTCTCCTCAAATTTAAATTAAATAATCCTATGAAACTATAGCATGTAAATGGTGTGGTACTGAAATAATGACCTTAGACCAATGAAATAGAATTGAGAGCCCAGAGTTAAAATTTCAGATATAAGAATAGTAATCCTCAACAAAAGAGCTAGGCCAATGAAGTGAAGTAAGGAAAGCCTCTTCAACAAATGGTGCTGGGAAAAATGAACCATGTGCCAAAAATAAAAAATCTGAATCCACATATCATACTATACAGAAACATTAATAAAAATATAAAGTCTTTGAGACAAGATTCAAAACCATAAAATACATTGAATAACATATGGCCAGAACTCTCCATGATATTAACTTCAGAGGCTTTTTCAATAATTTAAGGTCATTGATTAAGAAAATAGAAAAAAATTAAGTGGCACTAATTCAAACAAAAAAGTTTCTGCACTGCAAAACAATGACTAAAATAAAAAGACATCCTACTGAGTGGGAGAAAAAATTTGCTCATCACACATACGATGAAGGGTTAATAGCCAACTTAATAAAACACCCACAAAACTTAGAACAACAAAAGGCAATGCCAACAAAAACTGGGGAGAGGAGCTGGACAGACACTTCCTTAAAGAGGACACACAGGGCTGGAGTGGTAGTACAGCAGGTAGGGTGCTTGCCTTGCACATGGCTGACTCAGTTTTGATTCTCCGCATCCCATAGGGTCCTCCAAGCACTGTGAGGAGAGATTCCCCGAGTGTAGAGCCAGGAGTAAGTCTCAAGAACCACTGAATGTGGCAAATACACAGACACACAGATACACAGACATGTCCCATAGACAGTTAAAAGGTATCTGAAAAGGTACTAATCTTCACATTGATCATCAGGGAAATGTGAATCAAAATGACAGTAAAACATCACCTTGCACCAGTGAGAATGGCATACATCAAAAATACTGTAGTACTGTAAGCAACCAGGTAGTAGGAATATAGTAAAAAAGAAAAACTTATCCACATTGATGGGAATGTTTTATGGTTCAGCCTCTTTGGAAAACAGAATGTCTTTAAAAAATTAGGAATTGAGCTTTTACGTGACCTAGGGATTCTACTTCTTGGTATGTTTACTAAAAGCCCAGAAACATTAATTGGAAAAGATATTTGCATTACTATGTTTGCTACAGCACTCTTCATTAGAGTCAATATCTGAACAAACAACAAATACCCAAGAATAGATGAGTAGATAAAGAAATTACTAAATATATGTACATATGCACACCACTCAGCCATAAAAAAGATGAAGTCCTACAGTTTGCTGTAACCTGTAAGGAACTGGAGGATATCATGTTGAGTGAAGTGAGTCAAATACTAAATGATATCACTCATTATGTGGAGTATAAAGAAAAATACTAAAGAAACAGACAACTGTCAGTGATAATAACCCCCCTGAGAGTCTGCCAATAGAACTGAATTTGCTAATTTGGGATGAAGGATGAAGGGGTGTCTGGAGACATGAAAGGATGTGATACTCTGATGGTAGACATGGTACAGCAATGTTATATTTCTGAAACATTAATATTAGCAGTATTATAAATCACAGTACCTATACTCCCCCAAACCTTAGTGGAAAAATTTCCTTAAAAATTTTTATATTATTTATCTATATGCAGATTCTTCCCAATAAAATTAAGTTTATTTATTTGGTTTTTTATGTCCTCCATTTGCTGAAAGCATAGTAGGTAATGGATAAATATAAGTAAAATTATAGATAATATTCAAAACTAAGAAAGAATTTTGGGAGGGAATATACTAAAAATCATACCAACACAGTTTCAGCTTTACTTTCAACAAAATAAACATTAACAAGTTCATAGCTATTGATAATTTGAAAAATTTAAATGCCTAAAATTATTTAGAGGAATCTCTTGCTTAACAGTAGCTGTTCGGTGATGATTACAGATTTACCAAATCTGATTTCACATAATCCCCTAAATTACATTAAGTTTGAGGTTATTATTTACTTTATAAGATGATCTACAGTTGGGTCTTTAAAGAATAATCTACTACTGAGTATTTAAATTAAACTCTTAAACATTTTACAAATTATACTACATTTTTTCCACATGGCCAAATTATTGTAACATTATTATTAAGTATATCTTAACAGATCTCTTTAAACTTTGAACAATTAGCACATATTCTTAAAGCCTGGTATACTTTAATTGTTTATAATCATATTGTCATAACCATCTTTGTAAACATGTATCATGCTTTGTGTCTACTGTAATGGAGGCCTAATTAAAATATCAAGAGAAAGTAATTTAGACCTTTAGTTTTTAAAATAAAAAGTGGAAGGGATGGGTCTATAATGAGAAAAATCTTAATAAAAGAAAACCACAAGCAGAAAAGCTTGCCTTTTGAATTCTAACAGGAGCTCTTTTACGAGCTGATATCAATATGCATAAAGTAAGGTTAAAAATCAAGATTAGATTAAAGTCATGCTCTAGGCATTTCATTTTCTTGAATTTGTGGAAAATGAACTTGGTGTAGGTCCAAGATGTTACCATTAATTATTTTCCTACTTTATTGAGGGGTCCATGCCTTTGTAGTTAGAGTGTAAAACCTGAGGG